GGGGCTGGAGCTGGGGCTGGGGCTGGGGCTGGGGCTGGGGCTGGGGCTGGGGCTGGGGCTGGGGCTGGATCTGCGGCTGTGGGGGCTGCTGCTGGACCAGGTGCTGCTGCTTCTGTCGCGTGGACTTGACCGCCAGGATGGCCTGACGGTTCTTGTACTGCACCATTTGCAGCGTGATCTCGGCGTTCCAGCCCTGGTCCTGCGGACACCGAAAGTCGATCTCCTTGCCCTCTGCCATCACCACAGTGAAGTACATATACTTGCCCTTGCGCTCCACGCAGTCCACCGTTTTCATGTTGGAAAAGTGCAATTCCTTGAGCTTGACCGGTGGCTCAAGGCCAGCGACGGCGGGGCAGCTGGGTTGGGACGGCTCGGCTGTCCCCTGCCCGGGCTGTGGCTGCTGCTGGTGCTGAAGCTGCTTCGGCGGGATGAGCAGCAGCCCCTCTTCAGTGAGGATGCAGCACTTTTTCTTCCAGAGCTGCAGCAGCCCGTCGCTGCGCTTCTCCAGCACGCCCTCCTTCAGCGCCTTGCAGCCGCTGCTCTCCAGCATCCTCCCGGCATAAGGGGCGCCGCCGACGGGCTCGGCCTCTCCGTTTCCGGCCGCCCGGGCCGGGGGCAGCAGCAGCAGCCGCGCGCCGTCCTCGCCCCAGCGGCTCCCACGGCCGCCGGCCCGGAGCGCGCAGAGGAGGCTGACGCGCAGGAGGCAGAGCGGCGGCGGCGGCGGCGCGGGGTCCCGGCACAGCTGCAGCCGCGTCCTGATGCGCCGCCAGGTCCCGGGGGTGCGAGCTGCCGGGCCGCTGCCGTCCTCCGGCGAGCGCTCACTGAAGGGCACTGGCCGGGCTCCCTCGCGGCGCTTTTGAATGGGCCATCCGCCCCACCCCCGAGTGACACCCAGCGGAAAAGGCGGCTCCTGGCGCCCGCGCCGCGGGGAAAAGCCCAGCTCCGGGAGGCGCTCGGCGGCCGGCGCACGCCTCATTAACTTGGGGCCTTCCCAGAGCCGCGCGCCACGCCCCCAGTGCTCCTCGCCCCGCCCCGCCCCGCCCCCTCACTTCCGCGCTGGTGCGTCCGCAAGGGGGCAGGAGGCGAGCCCTGGAAACTCTTCTATTCCACCCTGGGCGCGCGCTGAGGGTGCCCCGGCTGCCTAGCGACGAATGCACAGACCCGGGGGCGCTGAAAGGTCATCCGCCCTTGTCCCGCCTCTCCTGCCCCGCGGGCCCCTCTGTGGACAGGCTAAGTGAGGACTGAGCTGCGAGGGCAGGTAACTAGGACGGCAGCGCTTGGAATACAAAGCGATCTTCCACCCTCGGATTTGCGGGGGGTGAGATCCTGCAGGACCAGTGCTCTGGTCTGGGAGAGCAGGGGACCCGAGGATCAGGAGGGCTAAGTTCCCTGCAAGTGTCTCCCTCAGACACGTACATACATATCTCAGTTTACAAAGGTTGCAGGCCGAGAGAACTTTTTGTTCTTGTCCATTGAGTTCTGTTCTTGGAGATACGTTAAACCAAAGCAGTAAGGGGCTACCGATTGTCCAGTTTGGAAGGCCGGTAAGGCAGACCCACTTCAGCTGGCATTTTTTCTCAACCCGGAGGCTCAGGCACTAAGCTCCCTTGCTTCCTTCATGGCCCGACTGCACAGCCTGCAGTCTTTTAGAACTTAGTAACTACAAGCCCAGGGATGTCTGCTGCTGAGAGACCCCCACATTTCAAAGCACAGCTTAGCCCTCAAAATGCTTGGATTTAGCCTAATGGGCCAAATCTACTGTGGAGATTTTGTGACCTAAAAAAGGTAGAGAGCCCTACTACCCTACACACACACTGAAATAGGGCAGAAAAGTGGTATAAGCAGACCAGCGTCCTGTTAGAGTAAGCCATTCATTAAATAAACAAGGAGCCCCAAGTATGTACTAACCCTGAACACATGGAAAACTGCAGTAAACTAAGGGAGACACATTACAGTTGCCCAGGGTAGGACAAAAGGCTGCTCCTGGGCCCAAAGTGGAAGAAAGGGGCGTTTAACTCTTCTGTTTGTTCATTAAATGGCTAAGAAAAAAATTCAGGTGGAAAGAGATGAGTTTAGACGTAAGAGTTAAATCCTTTGTGTGCCGTGCTAGAAATTTCAAATTTCTAGACGTGAGTGACGGTGGACGCCTACGCCTGTAATCCCAGCAGTTGGGAGGCTGAGGAAGGAGGATCTCGACGAGTTCAAGGCCAGCCTGGGCTCTATAGCAAGTCCATGCTTGAACCACATAGCAACACCTGGCCTCAAATAAACAAAGTAAGTAAATTCAAATTTTCAAACCTGATTCTAAGGAAATCAGAAAAAGGTTTTGTTGTCTTTGTTTTTGAGACAAGTTCTCACTAAACTGCTTAACTGTCCACGTTTAAACTTAGCATCCTGACTCATCCCAGAGTCCTACATCTTAATCTAAGGAACAATGTCCGATCAAATGGGACAACTTCAGCACAATCCCGAGTACAAATAAATTGCACCTAGTCAGATCGCAGGCCCTTGACATTAATTAAAAGTCCTTTAAAGAGAAAGCAATTGTAAGAAGTATGTAAAGATTTCTGGTAAGATTATGAAAAGATTTGCAGTTCTATATGCCAGCAACAAACACTGAACATCTCATTTTGTTTCTTTCTCTGTCTAGAACAACCGAGCATTCCAGAGAATTTCTACATTACCAGCTGTTCATCTTTTAACAGTGACATTCTTTAGCTCATTTGGAAAAGATACTTCCTTTAAGTCTGTAATTCAGTCTGAGGGCAGGTGAGTTGACAGTCATTTCGTATGGAAAGACGTAAGTTTGACCAAGTAAAAGCAAGATGTAAACCAGAAGCCTGAGCTATTTTCTTAGAATTCAAGTGTGGTTATTACTTAGCCTTCTGCAGTTTGCCAGAATGTAGCAAATGCTTTCTGAATTATCTGAAAATGTTTGAATAGCAGCACAATTTTCAAAAGCACCCACTAACTAGAAACTTTAAATCTCAAATTTTTCTATTGGGTATTTCACAATGATCTAGTAATTCTAAAATCAGCTCAAAAGTCTGTGTATTCTCAGTGCTCACAATGCAGCAATTATTAGAAATCTTAGCATGAAGAATCCACCAGCTCATTGAAATTGCCGTATTTGCCTATTTTTAAGGAAACTCAACAAAAAAATGCGTTACAGGCTGTATAAACAATAAAAACACATGTCACTTCCAGATTAAAGTTTGGAAAGCTAGCTAACAAAACCATTGGTTTGGCTAACTCAAGTTGCATTTTATGGTGATAAAATTGTTTGTCAGTTGTTTATTTTCTGCCCTTGGATAAAGGTCATTACCTGACATCAAAGATATTACTTAGTTTCTACTTGTGTCACTTTTTCAGTGTCCTCCACAAGCTCCTCTTTTCTCCATCTCAATCCTTGGTTATCTTTGCACTTAATTCTTTGTTGATCTTATCCCCTCTCATTACATGCCAGACTCTCTAATTTACATCTTCAACTTATATCCAACTGCTTCTTGCCAAAGAATGAAAGACTACTAAAGTTACAGAACAATAACATGCCAGGCAAGGAAGGGAGCATGAGGACATTCAGTTAGTTCACTCAAGAGAAAAGTCTGAGGATTTAAAAGTGGGTTTCAGAGCTTTTGCTTTAAAAAGAAAAAACTCTAGATAAAACAGAGAAACCTGCAGGTTTATACATATTAAACTCCTGGACGGAACAAGTCCAGTAGGGGGGTTGGAGTACCAGACTCACTTAAAAGTTCATAGTTTTCAGTGTTCACCAGTTAGAATAGCTGTAGTGTGTAACATACAGCTTCAGCTGACATATTCCCAGCCAGTGCTACTGCAGGATGAAACATCCGTACAGTAGTTCAGTGTTTCACAGCCCAAATATAAGCTAAGTCCTCCCAAACTGATCTCACCCTCATCTATTCTGTCTGCATCGCACTTGTGTTGATGGCAATTCACTACATGTAACTGCTCAGACCATTAAGTTCGGATCGTTACTGTCTTTCCTCAGACCAAATCCCCTCATCTAGAGCCCTGATGTAACTTTAGGACTGTGCCCGTTAAGAGTCAAAATGACACATCCACTGGCAGAGATCCTTACTCTAGACTGCACTCCAGGTGGCCCAGGCACCCAGTGGGCTCCACACTTTTCCCAGGAATTCAGTGCCACTCCTATGTACTGTGATGGGTACAAGGGCTGGCTCGTCTGTTTGAATGTGTAGGCTAGTGTCCACACATATGTGCAGAGGCTCTTAGTTCAAAGCTAGGAGTGAAAAGAGATGGAAGGTGGGACATGGGCTGAGGATCAGCTCTGCTCACAAGTTACCTTCTGGCATAAATGTAAGCCTGATGGATCCACGATGCATGTCAGACAGGAGCATCAGACATTTTAACAACTTCAAACACGCAGCATCTCCACTGTACCCCTGCCCAGGATTGCCAGTGCGCTACAAGCATACCTGCCTTGCTGTAAGCTTTCTCACAGTAACTGCATCTCCCCTCTGGTTTATTATAATGGCCTAACTTGTCTAATTTACCCTTGTCCTGTTTTCAGCATAGCAGCTATTCCTATCACATCTAAGGCTTTGCTCAATCAAATGTCACCTTCTCAGTGTAGCCTCTCCTGATTATACTGCCACCATTTGATGCCCTTTAATTTTTCCTATAGCATGTATTCTTTTTTTGTTTTGTTTTGTTTTGTTTTGTTTTTCTCCGGTACCAGGAACCGAACTCATGACCTTGGGCTTGGCCCAGCCCCCAGCGTGTATTCTTTTAATGTATTAATCAGTATCATCCCTATTGCTTATTTCTGTTCCCCTTAATAAGTTCTTCCAGAAGGCAAGGATCATTGCTTCATATGTAGAAATTTAACAACTTGATCAGGAAACTTCACCTTAAAAATAAATTTCTTAAAATGACATTTTCAATAAACCACCTTTTAAAGCTTTTTAAACAAGACTTTATGAAAACTCCCCAAACTTCCAAAGCCAACATATATTTGGTCTATTTTTAAATGGGAAAATACCACATATGCCAGCCCTCTCTAGTTCTTAATCTCTTGAACTCCACATACCTTCTCCCAAATAACTTGATAATGTGAAGTATTCCTATCAACTAGCATCCTTTTGTCTAGTAGGAGGAAACAGTAATGATATTGATGTAACAGTTTTTATCTGGCGGCTAAACAACCAAATACTTGTTTACAGGGATTTAACTGAAATTATAGTGAAGTCTAAATAATCAAATGTCATTCAAAGGAAAGTGAAAAGCCACTTATAAAAACGTTGTGTCACACCACCATGTATACAAAGCACAACCAAATAGTTCCATGTTCAGAGTGAAAAGGTTAAATACTAACTCTTCTTCAACACAGACCTAGACTTTTCTGTCTGGCTGCCCTTTCTGCGCCTTGCTGATGAGCTGCTGCCTCCTAGTGACCAACTTGTGTAACACAACTGAACATTAAAGAGCAGGCTGCGGGGTTTTCTATTCCGCTATCAAATGTATCACCACCTGCGTGCACCAAGCAAAGTCCAAGTCAGTACCTTCTGCCACTTCTGTCGTGCCAGTAACCTAATTAGGTTCTCCCTTCCCTCACCTAGGCTCCTAAGAAACCCAACTAGATCCACACCATCTCATCACCCAACTTCCCCCTAGATAGCTACACAGTAAACTTTCCATCACCGTCCATCATGTGGCATTACAGTTCCTCTCTGGCAAGGAAAGTCCCTGACAGGATGAGTCCCACTGTCAGTTTTTATTCCTCCCACTCATCTTAAATGAGCTCCAGCCCTGCAACTACTTACATTAACACTTAAAACTGAGTTGACTGACACATTGTTTACTGGAAATACTCAAACTACGGCAAAAAGGCCAAAGACATTTTCATGTCTACCAACCAGAGGCAGGTGATATGCTAAGGACACTCATGGTAACATTAATTTTGAAGAGACATGAAAATACTGGATGAAATGAAGTACGGTACTGGCA